TTTCTTCTAAGACTGTTTGTTCTTTTGTCAGTCCATGGTGTACTCAGTATTCTTCACGAACAACCCAGTTAAATGCACCAATTCTTTCTTTGTCTTCCTTTTTTTTAAGACTAAGGACATTCTATTTCCATAACCACCAGACACTAATTACACAAAATAACTTAATATCATCCAATGCCCAGCCCATATTCAAATTTCAATCCAGAATCTCAGCAAGGTGAACACATTTGACTATTTTGCCTCTTTAATTTTTCATTGAGAATAGTTCCTTGTCTTTTGGGGAGTGTATATTTATATACATACTACACAAAGGTGATGAAGATGCTATAGGTTGCAAATGAGTGAAAGAAATTTTCATTACTCTTGAATGATCACTTAAAAAAGAAGGTGAGATCTAGCTGGGAAGCAACAAAGAGCCCACATAGAAGAAGAACCCCAGCCTGTGTGATCATGAGGAGTTGACGGGATCAGGTACCAGGCATCAGAAGACCCAAAACAATCATATCAGTGTGAACAAGCCCATCTGTAGACAATTGGGCATCCCCTAGAAGGGTCACAAGGAAGGGATGAGCCAACCAGGGTGCAGTATAGCACCAACAAAACATGCAACATTGTTCTAGTTCTTTAATGCTCCCCTGCACCTCACCCCCACCCACCATCATGACCCCAGCTCTACTTTACAAATCCATCTAGAGAAGTGGTTCTCAACCTTCCTAATGCCACGACCCTTTCATACAGTTCCTCATGTTGTGGTGACCGCCCAACCATAAAATTATTTTCGTTGCTACTTCATAACTGTAATTGCTACTGTTATGAATCAGGTGATCCCTGTGAAAGGGGCATTCAACCCCCAACGGGGTCGCGACCCACAGGTTGAGAAACACTGAGCTAGACCGAAGCATGTACACTGGTACAAATGAGGACCTAATGCTGGGGGCTTGAGTGGAGAGGAAAGGTTTTGAGAATGATGAGGGCAATGAATGTACAAATGCGCTTTACACAATTGATATATGTGTGGATTGTGATAAGAGTTGTATGAGCCCCTAATAAAATGATTAATAAAAAAAGAGTTGTATGAGCCCCTACTAAAATGATTAAAAAATTAAATTAAAAGAGCTCTTGACACAGATAAATCCTTCAGGAACAATAATGAGAATAGTGATATTACCATGAGGGTAGGGGACCGGGGGTCTGTGGGGGTGGGGGGTGAGAAGGAGAACCAATAGCAATGATCATTTAACCCTCACCACCACACACACACACACACACACACACACACACACACACGCGTGGTGATGAACAACAGAAACATGGGTATAGGGAAACAGCAGACAGTATAAGACATGAAAATAATAATTTATAATTAATCAAGGGTTTATGAGGGTGGAGGAAGGAGGGAAAAATGAGCTGATACCAAAGGCTCAAGTAGAAAGTAAATGTTTCGAAAAGGATGATGGCAACAGATGTACAAATGTACTTGACACAATGGATGTATGGATTGTTATAAGAGCTGTAAGAGACCCCAATGAAATGATATTTTAAATGGTGAGAAGCTCTTGATAAATGTAGAAAGCAAGATAGAGTTAGAAAACCAGCCCTTTGCAAGTCCCCAATGAAAAATATACATACATACATATAGAGTACCTTATATACTTGAATATAGGCTGACCCCAAAATCAGCCAAGGCATCTAATTTTATCACAAAACTGCATAAAAAATGTGTGAAAAACTCGGCTTATACTTGAGTATATACAGTAATATATTAACAGCTATGTATATATATATATAATGTATATATATAGCTGTTAATTTGAAGAGGGCATGTCAGTCATCTGGATTTGCCTGATTGCATCCTTGGGCTTGGATTTGGTTTAAGTGTCTTGTTCCCCCCCATCATTTTATTAGGCTTCTTATAGCTCTTCTAACATTCCATACATCAATTGTATCAAGCATATTTGTAAATATGTTGCCATCATTTCTAAGACATTTTCTGCTTGAGCCCTTGATTTAAGCTCCTCTTTTTCCCCTCCCTCCCCCACCCTGCCAGCTTCCTGTATCCTTGATGAATTATATATATATATAGTTGTTATTATTTCATATCTTACACTGTCCATTGTCTCCCTTCACCCACGTTTCCATTATTTGTCCCTTCGGGGGGTGGGTTCTATATATCCAATCTTGTGATGGGTTCCCACTTTTTCACCCTTCCCCTTCCCTGACTATTCCCCTACCCTCATGATATCACTACTCTCATTACTGTTCCTGAGGGGCGTATCTGTCCTGAATTCCCTGCGTCGAGTGCTCTTATCTGTACCACTGTATGTTCTCCGGTCTAGCCAGATTTGTAAATTAGAACTGGGTTATGGTAGTGGGGGGAGGAAGTATTCAGGAACTAGGGGAAGACTGCATGATGCACTGGTGTTGTACTACACCTTGGTTGACTCATGCCTTCCTTATAACTCTTCTGTGGGGGGATTGTCTACAGATGGGCTTTGAATCTCACTCCAAACCCCCTCTTTCACATCATTTAGGTGGTTTTTTGACAACATTGTGATATAAGTGGTGTGATGACATCAGCTTGTCTGACCTTATTGGTAATAAACTCCATCATTAGATAGGCCGGGCAGATCAGAGTCCTCTTTTGTAAAGGAATCCGATCTAGGCAGTGATACTTGGGAGATAGTGAATTTTGTCTTCCAGCAACCATGTAACCAAGGGTTTTAGTCCCTGTTGATAATTATTGCCTGAACTAATCGTTGTGTGTAGGGTCTGCGAAGTGCTAGTTTTCGAACTTTGTCTTGCTTTCTCCATCTATCAAGAGCAATTCACCATTTAAAAAAAGAGCCCGCTAGTCATGAGAAGTTCTTTGACTCTTTTGTAACCTACATCATCTTCATCCAGAAGATGTGTGCGGAGTGTTTGCTGTCTCCTTCAGTGTGATAGAGAAGGATACTTGCCAGGAACTCAATCATTTCGAGTTTGTTGAGGGTCCAGTGTGGTCAGTGACAAAGAAGTCCGAATTCTGAGCTGGCAAGCTCACTGAAAAAACTCAACCACCAAACTCGCTGCCGTCGATTTGATTCTGATTCACAGCCGCCCTATAGGGCAGAGTTGCCCCTCTGGGCTTCTTAGGCTGTACATCTTTACAGGAACAGAAAACCTCATCTTTCTCCCACTGAGCTTCTGGTGGGTTCAAACTGCTGATCTTGTAGTTAGCAGTCCACCATGTGCCCCACTATACAGACAAACTCACTAATCAGCATTTAGTTCACGATGCAGGATGCTCTTAGATTGTTTTCACCACTTTTGTAGGCTGAATTTTTATTGGGGTTTAATAAGCATGTTTAGAATATTTTCAAGTCAAGTGTATTGTGGCTTTTGTGCTTTTTCTGGTCTTTTGTCAACATGAAGGGATTTTTTTCCCCTTTCAAATTAGGTACTTGGGCTACTTTACAGGACACCCACAAAGCCCTAATCCAATTGAAATTCAATTTAAATAGCTTCAGATCAGGTTGTCCTTGACAATGTATGCAGGACCATTTGCATGCGCGGTAATCTGAGTGGAATCCACCAGTTCCCATTGAGTGGACTGTAGCTCCTGGTGACACGCTGCATGTCATAGGAGCACTGGGCTTCATAGGGTTTGCAGAGGATGGCTTTTCAGAAGTGTACCTACATATTGTTGTAGTGTATAGTATGAGAAAAATACTTACATTTAATATGGAGAAAGGAATTTGCCCCGCCTTATTTACTCAGCAATGGCGGCAGTGCTGACGCTGTTTGGGTCCGTGTGTAACAGTTCTGGGCCACTGCTGAGTCCATTGTGGCAGCCACTACATCAATCCATCGCATCAGGGGCGGCCCTCGTTTTCACTTTACCAAGCAGGATGCTGTTTTATGATCCAGCTATTGAAATGCCTCATTTCTACTTTGTGTGTCCATACTATGATGACACCTGGAAAATAAAACCTTCAGAAAATACAACTCTAAATAAATTCAATTCATGAAAATAAACTCCATCCAACTCTTTTCAGAATATGAGTGAATATTAAAAAGGACTACACAGATTCAAAGTCCTGTACTCAGTACATAAATCCCAAATAACGAACCCATGGCCACAAAATCACCTGATTCCCAGCAACCCCAAAGGATAGGGTTTCTGGGACTGTGAATCTTTCTGGGAACAGAAACACCCCATCTTGAAGCGGCTGGTGGGTTTGAACTGTCAACCTTGCTGTTATTAGCTGCCCAGTGCCTAAGGGCTCCTCAGATACATGACCTTGGGAAGTGCCATTGTTTTCCTAAGTTCCAAATAACCGAGTGTTGCTAGAGGAGGCAATTTATCTCTGGTTGGAAATGAATGTCAAATTTTACCCTTCTAAGTAAGACAGAATTAAAAATAGAATGAACTTTCAGTTTCTCCATAAAATACATTTTACTTGAAATTTCTGGGGCGTGCTCCAGTTTGAACAATGGGTTTCATAAGCCCTTTTGTAACTGACCCGAAAGTTGACCCTAACGAGTGGGTGTTCGTCATTATAGCCTGACTGTGGCAACAAACAAGCTTGCCATCTCAGTGACCTAAGACAGTGAAGGCGTTTTTCTTGCTCACATCACATCCAGCCTGGGTTGCGCCAGCGGCCGGTCCTGCGCCCTGTTAGTCCCTCGGGGACCTAGGTCTTTGCATTGGTTGCCTTCCGAGTCAATCTTCTGTGGCTTCAAAGTGCTTCACTGGCGTCTTTGTCTCTGGCTGTCCGGTGAGAAGAGAGAGACTATGAGGCAATGTGCAGAGACCCAGCCTGCAGCTCCCTCCTCTACCATCGACAGGCCATTAACCAGAGCTTACTCACTTGGCTCCACCCAACCACAAGGGAGACTGGGAAATGATGTCTACCCAGGGGTCTAGGAGAAAAAGGTGCTGGGTTTGGGAAAGAGGCATGAGTCACTATTGCAGGGGTGACCTCTTCTGTCTCTCTTTTGTTTTCTTTTTTCTTCTCCAGGAGGCTTCTTGGCATCATCACGAAAAAGGATGTTCTGAGACACATGGCCCAGATGGCAAACCAGGATCCTGAATCCATCATGTTCAATTAGCAGCACGGCGGCCATTATTTAGAGGACAAACATTGTCATTTTTAAAGAAATAAACACATGATCCTTTATTGTCCAAATGAAAGATGATGCGCTGGGGTAACAAAGACAAAAGCTTTGATTGAAAGGGGGAGAAGAATGAACCCTATTATGTTTTTATAAATGCATCAACGAGTAGGCATTGTTTGGCTTTAACCCCTTATGAGTTTCCAGCTGTGTCTCTTAATGAGTTTATTAACTGCTTATGGGTGGGTGGAAGCTGTGGTTTGGGATGAGGACGCTGGACACAAATGCCGAATGGAGAAAGTGTTCCCTCACCTGCTCAAGGCTGATTTTTATCACGTAGGAACTCGTGCGAAGCTTTGAGTCCAAAAAGCAAAGGGATCTCAGTGTCAGTGTCCATATGTCTTAATTCCTGAAGTGTTGCTGCTGTGTTAGTGAGTGATATTAAAGACACTTGCACTTACTTTTGTTGGAAAGGAAAAAAGAATTTAAATCTGAACGTAGTGCAAGCTGTAAGTATACCAGTGCATCTACTCTTGACCGTCCCATTTCTCGCTCCGGTTTTCAGCTTGTTGTTTTGTTCACTCCTTGTTTCTGAACCAACACCTGTGACACCTGTGTTGAGCATGGAGAAATCATCTCCCTAGGGAAGACCACAATCTTGGGGGACTGCATGATGAACTACTGAAGTGTTTACTGTCTCCTGATTTTCCTCCTGTACAAAGATACACACCCTTATTTTGAGAGTGCACATCCTCGATCATTGCTTTGCAACCCTGTTGCATTTGCTTCATTTATCAATTGCTATTATCTAGGCATATTGATCAGGTCACCATTTTCCATGGGCCATGGCCTATGTGTTCTCAGCTAGTCATAAGCCTGCTTTAACTTCCAAGTAGAGAATATAAGAATCAAATCAGGACACTACATGTTATTTACTTATTTTTCCTCCCAGGCCTTACCAAATATGGCTGTAGAGAGGGTGAGGCATTCAAGTTCTCAGTGGGAACTCCTATAAATGGATGGAAGAGAAATACTAAATTGATTCTAAATAAGTTCCACTCTCTTCTCTGTGGGATGCAAAACACCCAGCTTTAATGTACAAGTGTGCTTTCTGACAGCAATCAAAGCACAAAAGAAAAGAGTTGCACTTTAGACAGCCCATTTAAGCACTGAGCATCTCTGCATTTGCATTTAATGATATATCTGTTCTCCCAGTCAGGACTTCAGTCTTTGCAGGAAGGAATTCACGTATGTGTCAGGTCCACTGTGGAATGATCTTCATAAGAATCTATCCCATTTGCGCTTCCACTAGTAGTCTTTGTCTGTCCCTTTTTATTGTATCATCCTCATCCTTGTCAATCTCATTGTCATCGAAAAACCTACAGTGCACAATTCCACTCTGATACATGGGATCACCGTGACTAGTTAGATTTGACTCAGTGGTGATGGTAATGGTGGTCATTAGATACTGATGGATTAGAAATGCATTTGGCTGCAAATAATGAATCCTGGGGGTTGGCACACTAGAACCATCTCAATAATATCATCCAGGATCCAGACTCCCGTAATAGTTCTTTTGCGCTATCCATACCCTTTGCCTTTGGTTGACGGCCTCAAAGTTGCAAGATGATGGTGGCCCCTCCAGATTCCATGCCTGGCTTCTAAGCAGGAAGTAACAAGGTATAAAAACAAAAACAACCAAAGCTTGCCCAGTGGCTCTTAGCTTATACTTACTGTCCAGAATTCTGTCACCTGGCTTCACCCAGCTGCAGGGAGTCTGGGAAAGGAGTTTTTTCAGTAAGGCACCTGATTCAGAATGGGATCATTGTGTTTCTATCAGGTCTCATGCTTTCAGTTTGTTGCTCTCTTGTCCAATCCTTCCAAACACACCTTTTAACCGTCCACACAATACTGAGATTTGACCGAGAACTCCCAGTCAACATTCATTTTTCTGCCATCTTAGCCCAGATGTTTTATTTTTCATTCACTTTTGGATTAAAACGTAGTTACAAATGGGGCTCCATGAAATTCCTGGTTGAGGGGACAAAATATGCGGATTCTCTGAATTTAAAAAATTGTCAGAAATTACTGACAAACTAGAAAATATCTTTCTGTAGTTCATTGATGTCTTACAAAGACTATCTAATAGCCACGCGGTGTGACCATCCCCAGCTAGTAGGAAAGCAACAGATAGCTTTGGTCCTAGAATAGAATGCAAGTTGTTGCTTAGGTCTCAGTGCTATGGATTACATCACAGCCCCCGGGGTTGGCATTGTTGTCTGGGTTGCCATAGAACACTTGCAAGTGGAGCTGGCTTCTCCTGGATTTTGAACCTTAAAATGCCTTCAAGAGTGCTGCCGGTAGTCCCTGTCTTATTCCTGCCAGGATCTCCTCAGAGTTTGCCTGTAAATGGGAAAGAGAATGTCTATTCGTCTGGTCTGACTTTCTAGAATTCAGGAGGCCCTTGGAGCTGAAACAAGTCGTTTCAAAAGGGAACATGAAATAGCAAATGGATAACCAAAGGTCACTCAACCCCCAGAATGTACTTGCCAGCTAAGGATGTGGAGGGTGAGAGGGGAACATTTGCTCTGGGCCAAGGTCTCCTAGAGAGCCTGTGGTAGTTCTTTCTGCCTCCCCAGTGTTTAGGATAGAGATGTTTGGGAATTCATGCAAACAGCCGAGGGAGTTCTTTGACTTCCATGATCTGGCCCTGGTTTCCTTTGCCTTTGGAACCTCCCATTTGTCATAGGGCTCAGGTTCTCCTCAAGATGGCAGGATCAGGTGGCTAGGTAAAGGTCAAGGGGGAGGACTTTGCTGTGGAGACCACCCCGTGAGCTGTCCTTTTCACATGAAACTCTCACCCATGAGGCCCTCTGCCCACTGGCTCCAGGTCGCAGTCATATTCCACAGGACCATACTGCTGGGATATGACTCATCTTCAAAACCTTCAGGGATAGCTTGGAGATATGGCACGTTTAGCTCCAGACCACCATAATAAAGTCCATTTGGGGGTTTCCCAGGACATCGGAGAGTTATGTTTACAATATACTCTCGTCTCTGAAATGTGTCGTAACATGATGACAAAGTTTCAAATATGGTGAGAATGACCAAACGGACCCAGAGACATGAAGTGAGCACATGCAATTGGAGAAATGGCTCTCATTGACTTGCTCAACGCATGATGACCACTGACCTTCACTTTTAAAACAAATGCAATAAATCAAGCAAAGTGCAATAAAATGAGGCTTGGCTGTGCGGGGCTTGGGACTCTGAGGGTATGTGCTGCAGTCCACGGTTCGCAGTGGTCTGACAAAGCTCATGAGGAGAACTGAGGCAGGTGGACGAAATGTTTTCATCACTCGTAGAACCAAAGGCTTTAGACATTTGTAGAACCTTTCCTGACTCTAAATCATGTAATGTTCTAAAGGAATGCAAACAGAAAAAGTTCCTTAGTGAGGTATATTGATCAATTTCTTGCCCTCCCTCTTTCTTATGAAGGAAATGTGTTAGGGGACCCCAAGTTAAGGCTACCTTGAGCTAGATGTGCTGATTGTTTCTGTTTTTTGTTTTGTTTTGTTTTGTTTTTAAGCACACCTTGGAAATATAGATGTGCACAGGTACATGGCTTTTAAGGAAAAGTAAACATGCTGGAAGGAAATTATTGTACGTTCAATTTTTGTTGTTATCGAACCAGGCCTGCTTCAAGGTCCTTGTTCAATAAGTCCTGAAGACCATTCAAAGGAGAAGTCAGCTACCTTTTGGCCCTTAAGAAGTCATAGATATTGAATGGTTTAGAGCAGTGCATTTCACTGAGGAGAGAAGTGGGTCTTTTAAATTGGCTTAATCCAATGATGCTCAGAATTCAATATCATTTGAGTTGGAGAAGAACAGTCCTAGGCAGAGGATCATTGTGTTACCATGGAATTGGACCATTATGCCTCATTTTCATTTTGCTAGTGTTTTATTGGATTTGGCTGCTACTCTTTAACTTACATGGAGAGGGAGCTTGTCTGTCCAAGTGGGAAACACTAACCTGGTTTTACTGGCGTTATAAGAATGGATTTACTGGAGGAGCCCTGGTGGCACAGTGGGTTCACCGCCAGGATGCTAACTACAAGGTTAGTAGTTCAAAGCCATGAGCCACTCTACAGGAGAAAGATGAGGCTGTCTTCTCCCATAAAGATACAGTCTCCAGGCCACTTTTGCTTTGTCCGCCTAAAACCATGCCTACCCACTGCATCTGTACTTTTCTGGCTTGGAGCGAGCTTGTGGTGAGATGGCCAAACGCGCTAAGAAAGTCGGGCTCATGGGTACATAGGGGACCTGTGACGCTACCTCCGTCAGGAAAATGGAGTGGAAAATTGACATCAGCCCACATGCCATGTACACTTGCTCCTTCTGTGGCAAAGCCAACATAAAGAGACACGCTGTGGGGACCTGGCACTGCGGTTCCTGCATGAGAACAGTAGCTGGTGGGGCCTGGACCCACAACCCCACCTGATCTGTCACAGTCAAGGTCGCCATCAGGAGACTGAAGGAATGGAAAAACCAGTAGATGCTCCACTATCTGAAACCTCTCTGGCCTGTAATCAATGGGTTAATTTATAATTTGTAATTTAATACAAAGGAATGCTGTCTCAGAAAGCCCCTATAGAGCAGTTCTACTCTGTCCTATAGGGTTTTTATTTATTTTTATTTTTATCCTATCACTGTGTAAACATTGGCACTGTATTAAAGTTGTTGGAACTCTATTTTTAAAATAAATAAGCTCAGACTCCTCAACATGCGTGTTGTAAACAGAAGGGACTGATTATTTCACAGCGTGTTTCTACTCACTAGCACTTCCCAAAGCCTAACCCTGGTGACTGGGCTGATGTATCTGGTGACATTAAAGGCCCATTCTTAAGATCATCACCCAAGATTGAGACTTATTTGGGTCAGCTTTAAAATCCCTTGTTCTTAGCTTTGGTGGGTGATGGTCAAATGAACATTCAGGCTGGGACTGTCATTTTCAAAGGGGGGGGGGCAGGCCCGCTGTGCCTGGGCGATCTGCGAGTCGGCCAGGTGTGTTGAGGCTGGCAGTACGTACAGCTTGGACATTCATTCTTTCTGGAATATTCAATGTCCATTCTTTCATCCTTTCTCTCAACATTTGTTGCCTTGGGAACCACATGGGTTTGATTGATGTCTTTCTCCCACCAATTGTCTTTATTTCAATCATAGAGAAAAATCAGGGTGGGGGGGGAAAGAAGCACAAAGAATGCCCTTCTATCTCTCACCTGGTTGTTAGCTCCTGTAGAGATGGCTATGATTCCATGGACCCTGAACAGTAGAACCTCCTGTACTGCCCATTCACCTCCACACTGTTCTCAGGACCAGTGGTGATGGTGTGCTCCATAGGGTTTTCGGAAGTAGATGGCCAAGCCGTTTCCTCTAGTCCATCTTAGTCTGAAAGCTCTGCTGAAACCTCTTCAGCATGATAGCCCCATGTAAGCCACTGCTGTCAGACAGGTGATGGCTGCACATGAGGGGCACTGGCTGGGAATTGGACTACAATCTCCCACCTGGAAGGTGAGAACTCTACCACTGAACCACCTCTGCCCCACTTGAGCTATAAGAGGCGCTACTTCATAGGGATGGTGAGAAGAGCCCCTCTTATTAGGGGAGGAGCAGAGCTTCAGGATGCAAGACCCTGGGGTGCAATGGATCTAATCTGCTGAGTATTCACTGAAAGGACCCTTGGGCTTGGGAGGGACTGGGAACATCTGAAGTCAATTTTGCTTTGCTTTTCGGGGGGTGGGGTGGGGGATGTTGAAATAGGCAGATGACCTTACAGGGCAAACATTTTGTTAGTTTCTAGTGAGTCCATTCAAGGCTGTATATTCTTTCAGAAGCAGATGGTCAGACCTGTCTTCCCAGGTGCCCAGGGTGGGTTTGAACTGCCAACCTTCCTAGTTGTAGAGCGCTTAACTGTATGAATCACCCAGGGACTCTGTAGGGCAAGGTAAAGACTTGAAATTTGACAGAGTGATGGGATATGACTTGAGTTGACTAAGAAACACTGTGGTGATTGTATGGCAAGTCTGGAAGCTAGAAGTCTAGCGAAGAGGCTATAGCAAATAGATAGATAGTGTGATGGGGACTTGAATCAGAGAGCTCTTCTAATCTGGATGCATTCCAAGGGAGAGCTAACAGGATCTGCTGGATATTTGACAGTACAACCAAGTTGTCATTTACTGGAATAGATAAGAAAAGGGGAGTTGTATTTGGAAAGCTCTGTAGGAGAGATGTCTGCTGGATGTCTCGGCTGGGAGTTGAAGAAAGTTGTTCGACTCGGAGATAGAAATCAATCCATTAGCATTTCAGTGGTGTTTAAAGCATTGACTGGGTACTTGGACAGTCTAATGATCACCCAAGGGCAAATGGAGCCCATATCCAACAGAGTGTCACTGTTGAGTTTGCAGGAAGCCACATGGACAATGGACACTAATTGGATTACATGTGAATCCCAACTCCATCATGTCCTGGCTGTGTGATATTGTCCAAGGGATTGAACTTCTCTGAGCCCGGCTTTCTCCATCTCTGTCAAGTGATCCATTACCCCCATTAACAACCTGGTCATGAGAGTTCCATGAGACCATCCCCATGAAGTGCCTGGCAGGTAATGTGTCCATGCAAATGATAGAGCCTGCCCTCAGCTTGTGTTCTGAAACGCAGTAGCGTCACTGAGAAAGTAAGTGCTTCAGCGTTGTGAAGGCCATATTACACTCCAACGTAATTAGAAGATCCCTCAAAGTCAACAGGGATTGATTTACCAGGCTGCCTTTCTTGCCAACGCCTCCTGCAAGAATTTTTCAAAAAATAAAAACAGCAACACAAAAACAAAAGCCCAGAGCTCACTAGGGATGTCCATAAATGTCTCCCTGACTCCAAATTAATGGGGGCTTAGTATAAGGTGACCAGATTTTAACATTTGTAAAGAGGGACACCATGGATAAAAATCATATCCTGGCAAAATAGCCTCATGGCAGCAGAAAACCGTATACCCTAGCTTGTTATGCATTCTTTCCAAAAATTGGGACTTTTTAAAAATGCCACGGGACGTGGGACAAATTGTTAAAAATCGGGACTGTCCCGCCAAAAGCGGGACATCTGGTCACCTTAAAGCCACAACCTGGTAGAAAATCCAATTTCTCTGTAGTTTCATATAGGCTTGCGAGCAGAAAAGCCCAGATACAGAAAGAAGGCTTCACTTACAATGGAGAATGCACATTCGCCGCATGCAAGAAACGTTTGGCCTTTCAGACCAGGTAAAATCCCACCCTGCCCACCCTTCCCACATGGTGTTAATGGATGGCTAAGGCCCCTGAGAAAAACCTGTGAGAGAACCGTGTTTTGTGGGCTTCGGTTATTTCTCTTCCAAATGATGCACTTAAACATCAGGGAGGGAGAGTGAACAAGCAGTGATTTGTCTGAAAGGTGACAACCTCTCAGTTTCATTCTGAGGGCTTAACTAGAGCCAGCCAGAATGGCTTTGCCAAGAAGCATCTGGGTTGGACACACATCTAGGGATTTCATGGAGTTGACACAAGGCCAGAAATGTCCATCTTTCCTGGTACCGTGCACTGGGGCTGAGCGTTAAGGAGCCTGGTGCTCCCGTGGTTCTGGCTGCCGCCCACTTCCTTGGTACTTAATTGGCTAGAAAGAAGCTACCATATGCGAAGGCACATAGGGGGCGTCTCCTTTTGGCAGTCTTCGAACTTGCATGTCATTAAAGAGATGGATTTTTGTTTTCATTCTGAATGAGCGATAAGCAAAGAGCACCTTGTGGGGATTTCCAAACCCCTGTAGTCAGTATCTGGCTCCCAGAACGAAGGCAACAATGTCTGTGTGATTCCAGCCTTTGGTATGGAGCACATATTTCAAAGATTAAACAGCCTGCCCCTATCCCAACAGATTCTGTCAGAGAAATTGAAAACACACGCATACATTCCCACCCTGCAGGCCGCCTAACAGGTTCGGTACAGAGGCCGCTTGCTGGCAGGAGAACTTCCCGTCTTCCCGTGGGCCTCCATGTTCATTCACACATACAACTGGCTCTCTCAGGCCCTCCACCTGTTTCTAGCCAATACTAACTAACCCAAGCGGAAATTGGAGCGAGCTTCCTGTTGACCAGAGGTGTCCTTTCTGACCTTTCTTCAAGGCAGCCTGCTCCCAGTAAGACTGGGGTCTTTCCAGGAATGGATGCTGGGTGGTGCACATGGTTAACAAGGAACTTTCTCCAGGATTTTGCCAAGTTCAATTGCTGCATGAGGCTGCGGTCAATTCCCAACTGGTGGTTTACCTATACACAATGGCACAAAGCCTGCTTGGTCCTGCATCATCCCCATGATCAGTGGAAGACTGGACCGTCGTCCTTCATGGGGTCATCCCTGGCTGATTTCTGGAAGTAGATTGCCATTTCGTGTGGAACCCTCCAGAGAAACCTGTTCAGCACCATAGCAACCTACCAGTCTCTACTGACAAATAGGTGGCTGGGAATGGAACCGAGGCTTCTCACATGGAATTCTGTCACTGAACCATCAGTACCTAGTACTTTTAGGTAGTCATTAAAGATCCAGGGACCAACATGAGGTGGGCATGCTTCTGGGAGAAGCTCTGGTGACACTCTGGTTACAACGCCCAGCTTCAAATAGAAACCTCTGGCTCAAACTCACCACCTTCTGTGTGGGAGAAAGACATGGCAGTCTGCTCCTGTAAGCATGACAGGCTTGGAAATCTCATGAGGCAGTTCTACTCTGTTCCATAGGGTCGCTCTGAGTCAACGTGGACTCACTAGAATGGGTTTGTTTGGTAATGCTTTTGCGTGCAGTCTCTCCACAGGCCGGTAGTGGATGTCAGCAGAGAAGAGCAGCTGGTGGTTAACAAAGTTGGGAAGTTCTGTAGCACTCGGGTCCCAAACACCAGCCAATCCTTGGGCATTTCTGCCATGGTGGCAGGTGTGGGAGAGACGAAGGAGTCACTTTTTTGACCAAGAATTTTTAGCTGAGTGACCTAGGAGACATGACTTGATGAATGGACTTTGCTCACTGCATCTGGAAATCAGGGGCATCTCCTTGTGCTTGTTCATCAGCACGATGTCTGTGGGCTGGCCCAATCGCTTGTTAGAAATGTCGAATCCCAAGTCTCACAGGTTGGTCTATGGAGTCAGAACCGATATGATATTTTTAACAGGACCCACAGGCTGTCTGTGTGCACAGCCATGCTTGAGAAATGTTGTGTTAGGTGATACAGATGTTCCCCCAGGTTCACTTCCAACTCCCAGAGCCACCATTCTCCAAGATTCTTCTGCTTCTAGAGGAAGAGGAAGAGGAAGAGGAAGAGGAAGAGGAAGGCATAGTTATGGCAATGAGGCCACTGAAGAAGTCTCTCCAGAAATGAGGGGTAGACACTTGGGGCGAGGTCTTGAAGACCTATATTTTCTCAGTCCCCAAACCTTCCCAGTCACAAGTGCATTTTTGCATGATGCTCAATGCCAGGGCTTCTCATCCTTGACACCATTGGTCTAGATGGCCAGAGGTTTTCTGTGGTGGGGGCTGGTCTGGAGGCTGTACAGCTGCACCCCTGGTCTCCACCCACTTGAGGCCAGTAGAATCCCTTTCCTCACTCTGCTGACCCAAAGGTCCCCAGACAGCGTGCCCAGTGGGGCCAAACCCACACCCTCTTTTTTCATTGTCCAGAAAGCGCCCTGGGAGAGACACAGTGTTACTTTGGTGAGTTTC